GGACATTGAAGCATACGGTGAACATGCTGTCGCTATTTGGACTAAACAATATTGGACTCAATTCTGAGGCTGCCAATGCGGACTACAGAGTGATTGCAATTCACCTAGAATGGAATTTGATTTTTCTTGTTAGGGAGGACAAAACACTGATGGCATATGACATGAGCCGCAGAAAAGTTCATGTCTGCCCTGCCCGAGTCATCCACTATCCTAAAAGTACCTGGAGTATTTATTTGAACGGATCTCACTATCTGCCTTATGTTCCCTTATTCATGGAGTCATTAGCAGAGCAGTAAAGGTGCATATGCTGTATTTTGTTGTTAGGACATGTCTTTGTTCAGGCAGGGAGTTGTTTTGAGTCCATATATAGTCCAATTTTGGTTTGGTAACTAAACTAATGGTATGTTGAATATTATTAATTATGTTGCCTTGCATTGTATAGGTTTTGGAGTCTTAGTGCCTTTGAACAATTTTCCTGCAATGACTATGGGAGGAAGAAGAGGGGTTCCATGCTGCATTGGCTGACAAGCTGATCAAGGACTATCAATCTGAAGGAGCGGAGCACATCTACCTTACGTAAGTCTGTAGGGAGCAGAACCTTTATTATGCTATCTATGTACCGCTTGTGTTAATTCAACAGTTGACACAGTTGTTATGTTAGTGTCGAGCATTGTTATTATAAAAGTATTCTTCGTTGTGGACATGGTGAATAATATGTAATGATTATATCTGTATGGTGTGTGTTCAGTAAGTTATTAAGGCCTAGCTGAATTAGTAAATACATTGTGAAAACCGGATGCAATTGTGTCATCGTCGGATGTAAGGGCCGTTGGTTGTTTTGTCATCACTGCCGTACCACTTGCCTTTGGTGAAACAGACGACCATCACCACCGCTATTCATCTGATGCGACAGGGGTCAATAGTGCATCACCGCCGAATTGTTTAGTAACCCGACACCGACTAAAGGATCATCACGGGCGGATCCTACTGCAACGCGATGGTGACCATGCCCTATGACCTGGTGGTTCATACGCTGAAGTGACGGTGATGTTCGCCTCGACACAGGCGGATCATGCTCTAAAGCAACAGAATAAGGATCTGATCACGGATGGATCATAAGCCATGCGGCGGTGTTAGTGCATACCCACAAACATGGGTTGTGTTCCAATGCGATGGAAGTAAGGACCTTATCATGGATGGATGATAAGCCAATACGGTGGTGTAGTGTACACCCCAGTCGGTCTCAGATACCGACGATGATGGCTATGAGTATCACTGCCGATAGCTTACTACTGAGGTCGAAATTGGACTGCGATGTGGGTTACGACGCGGCTGTGAAAGGTGCGAGTGTAGTAGTGACTCTGCCTCCCCACATTTCACCATAGACGGATCCAAGTGCCGGGGGATAGGATTCTGTGGTCCCTGGATCCATTGCTGCGATGGCGCCGGGATCGTCTGCGGCTGGAGCACCTGCGACATAGCCTGCGGCATCCGCAGCGCCTCTATGCCCTATCACCCGACTTCAACACGGTATCCATAAACCCAAAGTTTATATTGATGGAACAGTGCGCTAGGGGATGCCGGCAGCATCTGTTGCAGGTGAACCAAAACTCTGTTGGTGAAGCTTTGCATGACCAAAGATGGGTTGCGACAATGGATAGTGAACATCAAGCTTTGTTGAAACACAAGACATGGCATCTTGTCCCTCCACCAAAGGGCAAGAATATAATTGACTGTAAATGGGTTTATAAGATCAAGAGGAAGGCGGACGGCACAACTGACAGATATAAAGCTCGTCTCATTGTGAAGGGTTATAAACAACGTTATGGCATTGATTATGAGGACACTTTCAGTCCAGTGGTTAAAGCTGCTACGATTCGACTAATTCTCTCTATTGCAGTTTCAAGAGGGTGGTCACTAAGGCAGCTTGATGTCCAAAATGCATTCCTTTATTGAGTGTTAGAGGAGGAAGTATATATGCAACAACTGCCAGGATATGCAGATAAGTCAAAACCAACATTCGTTTGCAAACTAGACAAAGCTTATGGTCTCAAACAAGCACCACATGCTTGGTATGCTCGGCTATGTGGGAAACTTGAAGCACTGAGGTTTAGATCTTCCAAGGCAGATACGCCCCTCTTCTATTATAATACAGGAAAGCATGTTATATTTGTTTTGGTTTATGTAGATGACATCATTGTGGCGAGTTCCTCACAAGAAGCCACAAATGCTCGACTCAAAGATCTAGAAAAATAATTTGCCTTGAAGGATCTTGGAGACTTGCATTACTTCCTTGGGATTGAAGTTAAAAGGAATTCAGATGGTTTGATTCTGTCTCAAGGTAAATATGCCGAACAAATTGTCAAGCGGGCAGGCATGAGTAATAGCAAACCGATCAATACACCTTTGTCTAGTGTTGAGAAGCTCAGTGCAGCAGAAGGAGATCCACTTGGACCTGAGGATTCTACAAATTATAGAAGTGTTGTGGGAGCTATGCAATACCTAACATTGACTAAACCTGACATTTCATTTGCAGTAAATAAGGTGTGTCAATTTCTCCATGCTCCTACAACTGTGCACTAGAGTGCTGTGAAACGTATACTTCGGTATGTTCATGGAACGTCAAAACTTGGGCTTCACATCAGGAGGTCCAAGTCCATGATGGTAAGTGCTTTTTCAGACGCTGATTGGGCAGAGTGTGTTAATGATCGGTGATCTACTGGTGGTTTTGCCGTATTCCTTGGTTGTAATCCGATCTCATGGAGTACAAGGAAACAAGCCACCTTCTCCCGCCGAGTCTGAGGCGAATACAAAGCACTTGCGGATGCAACAACAGAGATGATGTGGGTTCAGATTGTTGATAGAGTTGAAAGTTCAAAGACCCTTCCACGGCCCCGCTTATGGTGTGACAACCTTGGAGCCACGTATCTATCATCAAAAACTCAGATTTCATGCAAGGACGAAGCATATTGAAATCGATTTCCACTTTGTCGAGAAAGGGTGGCTCAAAAGTTGTTAGACATCGATATATTTGCTCGGTGATCGATGGCGAAGTCTTTACCATTAGCTAAATTGATCCAATTTAGGAGCAATCTCAATCTTGTGGCCGGTTGAGATTGAGAGGGGGTGTTAAGATGATCACAGTTTCTATACCTAGCGCAGATATGGTATTCTGTTGCTTTCTTGTATCTCAAGTAGATAGATAGATCTTGTTGTGATCTTTATCTTGTTGTAATCCTAACTTTGTGTACAAGCCATACCAGGGGTTGTTCTCGGCCTTTATTAATATGAAGCCGAGACCCTAAGGGGCAACTCGTTCACTCAACTTCATACCTCCACCTCGTCGACGACCAGAGCTCAGCAACGCCGTTGGTGTGGAGTTCTTGATTTCTTCTTCTGATAGAATAAAGGAAGAAGAAACAATGGATTTATTGATTTGATTTGAGGAGTTGTTACCTTATTGAGGTCGTCTGATTTGAATTTGTATCATATTTGGGATTTGTATGGTATTTGGATCTTGGAGGGAGAGAGGCTATATTTGTTATTTATTATTTTTGTTTATAAAAAATGGAGAGAGAAAATCACGTACACAACTGAACGTGGGTTTCCATCCGATGGAGAAAAACAGAAAGAAACAAAAAAAACCAGAAAAGAACACTCAGATGGAAATGTATTCCACTAAAAAAAAGAAATAAAAACATACGGTTCTATAATGACCGAGACTAGATTAGAAGAAAAACTATTGGTAGCAGAAATTTTACCTCTTTATTATTAGAGAAAAAGGAATAGATTAGGTGCAATGCAACGATCCGTTTTAGTGCATCTACGCCGATTACCGTGCAGCAAGCCTGCAATTTTTTTTGCCTCTGTATGTCCGCGTGCGTGGCGGCGGTTGCTCCCGCGCTTGCGGAAGCGATCTGTGAAACCCAGTAGGGGCGGCCCGCCGTGCATCTACGCCCCTGCAGCGGATCGGGTTCAGGCAGATATCCGCGGGTTTTGGTTTTGGTGCCTGGTTTTCGCTCACGGATTTTTGAGTTTGGATACACGAAATACCGCGGGTTTGGGGCGGATCCTTAATTTCACCCGTGGAGCTCCATCGGGCCCAAAAGAATCAGCCCATTAGAAGCCCAATTAAAACCCTAAATATATAAGCCTGAAATCCTCATCTGTTCCTCAATCCCTTAGCGTTAGCGGCTCAGCCCGCACCGCAGCCCTGCGTCCGCATCCCACCAGGCGCCAGGCGCAGCGCAGTCAAGCACCCCGCGTCCCCGACTCCTCGCACCCCGCACGAGCGCACGGTGGCCGCACCCACCCGACGGGCGACGGCGGCTCGTCCGCTTTGGTGCTTCCCCTCATCCGGTTCGCGACCTCGCCGGCTCCCCAGTCCTCTACTCCTCCCGTCGGCAGTCGCCCTCTCTCTCTCGGTCGCGGACGCGGAGTGCCCTAGTCGGTGGCTCCTCACGGCAGCACGACGCTCGGTCCTCGGCGCCGGGCGGCTTCCTTGGCCCTGCTCCAGCATCCGCTAGCTACCGGCAGCCGGCGCCGCCAGGCACACGGCGCGGGCGCACCCAGCAGGGCCGGCCCGCCGGTGCACGCTGCCCGCACGCTGCACTGGGGATGCGTCGGCTATGGATTTGCGAAAAAATTTCCGGGTTTCGAATTATCCGTCATGTTTCAGGGATCTGTGGATTTTGATTTCAGGATAGATTTTCACCCGAATTGGCTTCGGTTTCGGATTAGGGTTTTAGGTTCGTGTTTCGATTTTGGGTGTCCAGCCACTCCACCCAATCCAAACCGCCCCGTTGCCAAGACCGGGCCCGAAGAAGAGCCCATGATTCCATAACCTCGTCACCCTCACTTGCTATTGGCGGGAAAAATCCCTTTCTCCCGCGCCTTTTCCCGTTCCCCTCCGCCTTCTCTATTACTCTCTGTTCCATTCCCATTTCCGCGACACGAAACCCCAAGCAAGTGCACGGAGAGGCGAGCCAACCCACCCAGCGATGCCTCCCAAGCGCAAGTCCCCAGCGACGGCTGCCCCTGCGGCGCGGTCCCCGAGGAAGACGCGGAGCATGGCTGCTGCAGGGAAGCGGGGAACGGAGCCTGCTCCGGCGAAGGCAGTGCCAGCTGAGAAGGAAAATGAGGCGGCGGTTGCCGAGCCAAAGGCTAGGAAGAGAGCCAAGAAAGGCGAGGCGGTGACGGTGGCCACCGAGCCGAAGGGGAGGAAGACGGGCAAGAAAGAAGCCGAGGCGGCGCGCCAGCGGCAGAGGAGGAGGATGGGGGTGATGCGGTGGCAGGAGGAAGCGTGTCATCGTCGAGGCCTGGTGAGTGCCTTCGTGTGTACTTTCAGGATATGAGGTGATTTTTGCTGCTGAGAGAGAGAAACAGATGATTTTGGGGGACACGGGAAAAGATGGGATTTAGGTTATTTTGTTCTCATTTGATTTCCCTTATTGTTTTTTTTTCTGCCGGAGGAACAACGATATGCTGGTCTTTTACCAAGGAAAAGCGGGTGAATAGATAGTGATAAACACAAATTGGAAGAAACAGACAATATGTGGTGTGGGCTTGTTTTTCTTTGCAGTTGTCAGGTGATTAATGCAATATAAGTTGGAATACACATTCTTTACATTGACAAACAATATGAGGAAGCAAGTTGTCCTGTATACTTTTTATTGTTTTAATAGGAACAACAAATGGGCTTAATTTAAAAAAAAAAATAGTTTTAAAGATAAAGAATGTATGCAACTCTATCCATTGCAGGCTATTTAATGTCGCTGATCCAAACACATTTTTTATTCCTCATGTCTGCAGGCTATTAAAATCACCTCTATTTTTCAAGACAATCTCACTTTGTAATAGCTAGTCCATAGTCACATAAAACAGGTTCACTACCATCTACAATCTAATCTCACTTCGTAATAGCTAGTCTGGTTCTGGTGTTATCTACAATCTCATCTTAATAATTAATTTTACAATCCTTAGGTTTATTGAATCCCTAGCTAGGATCTGACCTTGATATGGTCCTTGAAATATGTTTGTAGAAACTTTCTGGTGTTTTGATAGCGTCCTACTTTATTTGACTGGTCATGTTGGTTAATTGCAAGGACTTGCCTATTTCCTTTCTGTTGTAGATGTTTTGCTTTGACCTTTCATCTAATATTTTCTTATATATACTACAAGAAATTATTTATTTCTTGTATAAGTTTTAGTATATTTTAAAAATAATGCTATTTCAGAGACATGTTGTCACAGTCCTAGACCGCCAAATCACAGTTACAACAATATTTGATTGTTTGGGGATTCAATCTTAGGGGAATAAAAGGGAATTGGGTAGAGGAAGCAAAGAATCAGAGAGATAACAAGCAAGAACAGCAGGGAGAGGTTCTTGGTGAGAGGTGGAAGATGACTCAAGATTCTCGTTCTGTTCGACCCTGTCTCTGAACGTTGTTCCTTGCTTTTGTAGCTAGAGTCCTTCAGCCCAGCCCACTTAGGTAGCCCGGTCTTGGCCCACATGGCCACATGTCAGCCCAGTCCATGACTCCTGTCATCAGATTACAGTTTCTCATCCAATTTTACAAACTACACTTCCATGGTCATTAGTGTCACAGAACTGCAGTTTATAGAATCTATCCACTTTATCAGGTCATATTGCAAAACTAAATTTTATTCTCATTCAGCAGCTTACTATGTTGTTTCGGAAAAAAATGTTTAGTTTTACAATATGGTAGCATAAGAAGATAGGTGTATTTTTGTGATTTTGTTTTTTAATGTCCAGATTTGCACGATATGGATGTAGGTTCTGCAGTAAGATTTCCAATCTTAGAACATTTATTTAAAGTTTACTCAAATTTATTATTCAAGTCTTTGAAAAAAAATTGAATACATCATTGCTGAAATGCATGGTGAATTTGAAACAGTAATGTATATTTGGCTAAATTGGGTCTGCTTTTAGATTCTATGATGATTTGATCTAGTCATAGCATTTTCATTCTGTTATCTCAACCTTGTTATCCTGTTTTCCCATGATATATATAGTTCACCAATTTCAGTAGATAGTTTCTATTTGGAACAAAGGAAACGGGGTTCCATTTCTTTTTCTGTAGAACAGAAGATTGGAGGATTATTCTATTTGCTGCTGGGAACCTGGAGTAGGTTTAATGTAGGGTTACTCTTTTATGTAGGAGTTTTTTGTTAGGTGGACAAAACTGGGAAAATACGAACTGTTTTCAAATTGGAAAAGGGTGTGGTGGTTATCAAACTTCTTGTTTTCCTCTTCTGTATATTGTCACAGTTTCCCCTGCTGTGTGGATAATAAACCAAAAAAAAGTAGGTAGTGTTTCTTTCTCCTGTGGTCTTGCATGTCAGCAAGTGTAATAGAGTCAAAATAGAGTTTTTTATTAGCATTAAACTTTGCAACAAATCTGGGTGAAGTTAAGCATTATGGATCTGTGTTTAAAAAAGGGAAGTTAGGCAGTGCCTAGTTGCTAGGCAGAGTAATACCGCTTTGTTGACACCTAGGCATTTTCTCTATGTATTTCCCTGTTCTCTCTGTTATTTTGCTCTCATCTCTGAATCCCCACCCACCACACACACACACACACACACACACACACACACACACACACACACACACACACATGCGCGCGCGCGCGTCTTCATTTAACATGCAAAAAGTACAATCAAGAAGGCTTGCCTTGTCACTTAGCGGTCTGTATTGCCTGTCTAGTGCCTACCACCTTCTGTAACATTGTTTTTGAGGTCACATGTCAGCAAATTTTGTTTCGGGGACAACACATTGCAAGGAATAGTTGCCTTCATTAGTTGAAGGCTTCCATTTGTTTCATTGTTCTTAATATATTTATTCCTGTCAATGCACTTTATTTAGAGACACTGAGCTGCAACTTTGCTTATAGTTCTTCTTTCTGCTATTCTATAGCACTCAGTGCAGACAGTTTAAGATCCGAGCTCAGAAGGTGAAGGAGGACCTGGAAAGTTCTGTTCCGGGGGTGTCTGTGATAATCAACCCTCAGAAGGTATCCATACTGTGTTAATCGTCATGATCTTAGCCAAACCGTGGGTTTGTGTGATACCCTAAAACAGCTTCCATGTACATCCTACTTTCTTGATGGCCATTATACTGTTTTTTTAATCCTCAGCCACGCCGTGGTTGCCTTGAGATACGTGAAGAAGGTGGCAAAGTGTTCATATCATTGTTGGTAATATTCTTAACTGTCATTTTCCTAAATCATATAGGTTCTCAGTGTGCTATATGTATTTTGTCTATTTTAGAGCTATTTAGTATCTGAGGCCTATGCCAAATTCTATCTAATGATCTCATGGTAACATTTGATACATTTTTGTGCATAGCAATTAGCCTGAGACAGCACAGCCCATTATCCCATACTAGAGTGATTCATGAAATTTGACTTTAAAATACAAAATTCGAACATGTACCATTTTTGCTAACCGTTTGTCCATTGCATTACTTATGATAAAACCTTCCAAACAAAAGTTGCATACATTTAATTTATTCAGTATCAGCTTACCAAATTGTTGTACTTCTTTTCATTCTGCCAGATGGAAAATCATATAGGCGCCTAGGGGTGTTATTGCCCTCGTTAGCTAAAATACCTTGTTACAATGTTTCAAAAATCATCATAAAAATCATGTATGTAGTACACCTAAAGTTAAGAGTAGCCGCAACAATTTAGATTGAAATTCTTCTTTGATTCTGAGACTAAAAACAAAAGTGTCATTGTCAGCACATGATGAACAGTGCCAGGTTGATTGCTTGTCTAATTTGTTTCTTGGCATCTAGGATTGATTTCAAACTAAATTGTTGCGGCTATATTTAGCTTTACGTGTACTGCATATGATTTTTGTGATGGTTTTGAAACATTGCAACATGGTATTTAGCTAACGAGGGCGCCAGCCCCCCTGGGCACCAAATCTGCACTCCTGCCAGATATTTCGCTTCATTCCATGCTATACATTGTTCCTTAGAAAAACGTTAGAAAGGTTAAGATGAATAAATAGTAGTTTGCACCATCTAAGATGTCATGACGTTCTGAAAACAGTAGGGATAGCCCATCTTTGCATGTAATACCATAATGATGACATCCACATGATTTCATTTGGTTTATTTAAAACTGCTTTTGATGCACAGAACATGCCACGCCCCTTCGCACCAATGAAGAAGCTCGACATGGACAAGGTTATCAAGGACATCGCCAAGAAAATCTCCTAAATCATGTTGGCTGGCTATGGCAGGATGACACCATTTTGTGCTCGAAATCTTCAAGCTAAGCTCGTAATCTTCAAAGTGTACGGTGTACGCGTAACTTAGGTCACCATTTGTCGCATTTCCTATTGCATTGGCCATGTGCCCATGTCTCAGAGAATTTAAACCCAGTGGTCCGTGCTTTGTTCAATGGAGTTACGACATGCCAAATTAGTACCTGTGGCCTGTGGCTATGTGTAACCTATATCTATGCTAGTGTTTCATTGCTGGAGGTATATCGTTTTCTGGTATATGCAATATGTCCTGAAGATTAGGTGACTTCTGATCTACGCTGTTCTCTGCCTCCTCCGTACGAAGCTTTGGAGTTTGAATTGTTCAGGTCGGTGAAAATCTACTTTTTCTTGGTGTATAAGAGCATCTCCAAGAGTGTTCAAAGAAAAAATATAAAGAGCCAAAAAAAATCATAGTTTTGGGTGGTTGCAAAGGTATATTAAATGGAAAAAATAGTTTCTCCAAGTCTTATTTTTTTAGCCTAAAATATGCCATGTCATCACGCGAATACTTTCCTGCTGCCTTCCACCACGGCCTATCTAGGTCCGTTATCAAACACATCGAGGCCAGCTACCTCCCGCTCCTCTCAGCGGGATATCCAGGACTTAGGTGGCTAGTGCAGCCGTCCGATTAGTACCGTGTGAACCGCCTTTCAAACGACGGACAAGATCTCTCTCCCGGAGACATCTCCCCATGTCGAGGGTCGAGGCCACCCTTCCTGCCCCCTCTCTCCAAATGTTTCAGAGAGCGCGCGACTCGAGGCGCCACACCGGCTCCCCCCACCGGCACCGGCACGCACCATGGGCCCTACCACAGCTCGCATCCTTCGCCTCGTGCCCGTTGTCGCCGTGCTCCTCCTGGCCTCCCCCGCCTCCGCCTCCTCCCTGGACGCGGCCACGCGGTGCGCGGCCACGATCGTGTCCGTCTCGCCGTGCCTGCCGCACGTGGTGGCCGTGGCGCCGCCGCTGGCTGGCTCCCCGCCCGCACCCACCGACGCCTGCTGCGTTGCCTTCCTCCGCGCCGTATCCCTGTCGGGTGTCGGCGGCGGGAGGCGGAGAGGAGGGCTGCCTATGCCACCTGCTCCGCAACCCGCTTCTCCTCGGCTTCCCTATCGACGCCGCCCGCCTCGCCGCGCTCCTCGGGAAACTCCTTTGCCGCCGCCACCGTGGAGGCCGCCACCCTCTTCGCCGACGCCTGCCGTGGTGAGGGAGTCACGCCCCCTGGTGCCTTTCTCCCCTCTCGCACCATGATTGAAAAATCATCTGCGTTGTTGCGTCAGGTTCCTGTACACGTTCTCGTCGCAA